ATTTTTCTGATGGCTAAAAATGTTTAGTGTTTCATTAAGTGTCCTTCAGTCATTTGAGAGTCACCTGTTGAGAGGTCTCTGTTTAGGTCTGTATTCATTTTTGCTGGATTAAATGTTGTTTTGATGTCAAGTTTCTTGAGTTCCTTTTATAATTTGGTGGTCAGTCTTATGTCTGATGTGGGGTTGTTGAAGATCTTTTCTCATTCTGCAGGTTACAGTGTTGTCTTGTTTACCATGGCCTTTGCAGGAGCTTCACAGTTTCAGAAGGTCCCATGTAATAATAGTTGCTCTCAGTGAGAGTAATTTAGGAATTGGTGTTCTGTGTCCATGCATTGAAGGCTTCTTTATCTTCTACCAGGTTCAGTATGTTCATAATTATATTGCAATCTTAATCTATTTGGATTCGAGGTTTTTTTTTTTAACATGGGGATATCCATGGATATATTTTCAGTCTTCTTGATAATATCCAGTTATGCCAACACCATTTGTTGAAGACACTTACTTTTTCCATTATGTAATTTTAGCTTCTTTGTAAAAAAATAGGTATTTATAGAATGTGGATTAATGCCTAGGTCTTTGATTCAATTCCATTGTTCATCTTCTGTGTTTTTATACAAATACCAAGCTGTTTTCATTATTTTTTAGGTATGTAGGTTATTTAATGTTGACGTAGTATGGAATAGGTAAAATATTTCTAGTTTTGTTAAGGTTTTGATCTCCATAACCTTTTCTCTTCTATTTTACCTTTACTAAAAAAGAAAGAAAAAAAAGAGTCATAGTCGACTTTGGTTTACCTCCCTTCATCATAATAGTATAACTGACCCTTTCAAATATCGCTTTAGGTTGAATAATTATGCTTCTATCCATTTTTCTTACATATACTGATTTCTATTTCTTTAATCTTCTTTTGATTCTCTGTGCCCATGGAAGTCAAAAGAGGGCATTAGATATCTGGGTGCTGGAGTTACACGTGTCTGTGGGCCCCCGATGTGGATGCTGGCAACCAAACCCAGGTCCTCTGTAAGCGCAGGCAGTGAGGCAGCTTAACTATGTAGCCATCTGTCAAACTGCTTCTCTCACTTTGAAAATGATTCCCATATTCTTTTTTGGGGGGATCTTTCTCTTTTTTTGATATTTTTAATTAAAAATTTCCACCTCCTCCTATTTCCCTCCCACTCCCCCTCCCTGCTTCCTCTCCATTCCTAAGAAAAGTCAGAGTACCCTGCCCTGTGGGAAGTCGAATCCCCTCCCCCCTCCATCCAGGTCTAGGAAGGTGTGCATCCAAACAGAATAGGGTCCCAAAAAGCCAGTGCATGCAGTAGAATCACATCCTATTGCCATTTTCATTGGCTTCTCAGTCAGTCCCCCATTGTCAGCCACATTCAGAAAGTCCGGTTTGATCACATGCTTGTTCAGTCCCAGTACAGCTGTCTTTGGTGAGATCCCATTAGATCAGTCACCCAGTCTCAGTGGGTGGCTGTTTTCATTATTATAGCTACATAATAGAGTCTGAAGTCAGGGATTTTGATGGCTCTAGAATTTCCTTTATTTTACAGAATCGTTTTAAATATCCTGGGTTTTTTGATTTACTATATGGAGTTGATTATTGTTCTTTCAAGTTCCTGAAGAATTGTTTTGAGATGGGGATTGGATTTAATCTATAGATTGCTTTAGGTAAGAATGCCATTTTTATCGTGTTAATCCTACCTATTCAAGAACATGAGAGATCATTCCATTTTCTGGCATCTTTTTCTACTTCCTTTTTCAAAGACTTGAAGTTCTCATTGAACAGGTCTTTCAAAACTTTGATTTGTGTTACTCCAAGATATTTTATGTTATTTGTGGTTGTTGTAAAAGGTGATGTTTCTCTGATTTTATTCTCAGTTTCTTTATGATTTGTATATACGAGTGTTACTGAATTTTTTGAGTTGATTTTGTATCCTGCCATATTACTGAAGGTATTTACCAGCTGTAAAAGTTCTCTAGTAGAATGTTTGGGCCACTTATGTATACTATCACATCATTTGCAAATAATGAAAGCTTGATTTCTTCCTTTCCAAGACATCCCAACTTGGTCTTCTTTTGTTGTCTCATTGCTCTTGCCAGAACTTCAAGAACTAAGTTCAATAGATATGGAGAGAGTAGACAGCCTTGTCTTGATACTACTTTTAATGAGATCACTTTCAGTTTCTCTCCACTTAGTTTGATATTGGTTGTTGACTTGCTGTATATTGCTTTTATTGTGTTCAGATATGTTTCTTTTATACCTGATCTCTCCAAGACCTTTATCATGAAGGGGTGTTGGATTTGATTGAATGCTTTCTTAGCTTCTAATGAAATGATCATTTTTTTTCAGTTTATTTATATTGTGGATTATATTTATAGATGTTTTATATTGAACCATCCCTGAATTTCTGAAATGAAGCTGGCTTGATTATGGTAATAATTTTTTGATGTGTTCTTGGATTTGGTTTGCCAGTATTTCATTGAATATTTTTGTATCTAAGTTCATGAGTGACACTAGTCTGAAATTTTCTTTCTTGGTTGAGCCTTTGTGCGATTTTGGTATCATGAAAAATGTTTGGCAATTTTCCTTCTGTTTCTATTATGTGGAACAATTCGAGGACTATAGGTATTAGCTTGTTGAATTTATGCTTGAAATCTGCACTGAAATCATCCAGCTCTGGGATTTTTTTGATTGAGAGACCTTTGATGACAACTTCTATTTCCTTGCATATTATAGGTCTTTTAAAACTGTTCTCCTGGTCTTGATTTAATTTTGGTATATGGTAACTATTCAGAAAATTTTCATTTCTTTTACTTTTTCCAATGTTGTGGATAACAGGATTTAGTAGTGCCACCTGATGATTCTCTGGAGTTCCTCAGTCTCCATTTTCGTTACTGATTTTGTTAGTTTGGGTGTTCTCTCTCACCATTTTGATTAATTGGGTAGAGTTTTGTCTATCTTGTTGATTTAATCAAAGAATCAGGTCTTTGTTTCATTGATTCTTTGCATTGTTATCTTTGTAACTATTTTATTGATTTCAGCCCTCAATTTAATTATTTTCTGTCTTCTATCCCTTGGTGAGTCTGCTTCTTTTGTTTAGAGCTTTCAGGTGTGCTGTTAAGTCACTGGTGTAAACTTTCTCCACTTTCTTTATGTAGGAATTTAGTGTTATGTACTTACCTCTTAGCACTGCCTTCATAGTGTCCCATAGGTTTAGGTACCTAATACCTTCATTTTATTGAATTCTAAGTCTTCAATTTCTTTCTTTATTACGTCTTTTTACAGGGATGGTTCAATAAAGTGCTGTTTCATTTCCCTGTGTTTTGGGGCTTTCAAAATTTGTGATGCTTTTAAATTCTAATTTCAAGCCATGGTGATCTAATAAAATAAGAGGGTTTCTCAAATTTTTTGTGTCTGTGAAGGTTTGCTTTGTTACCAAGTATATGGTCAATTTTGGAGAAGGTTTCATAAGCTGCTGAGAAGAAGGTATATTCTTCTGTGTTTGGACACAGTGTTATGTATGTGTGGCCAGCACTGAACACAGAACTCTCAACGTGAAGCTGGTGCTCAGCTGACTTTTCCTTGTTGTTCTCCTGAAAGGCAATTTATGAAGAAGTGATGGTAATTATATAAATAGACAGACATAAGTTAGAGGAACATTGGGAATGCATGGCAGTTTACTCACATGGTTTCTCTGTATTGTTGGATGTCCACTATGGGCTGTAGCAGTTGGGGTCTGGGGTGGGTTTGATTAAGCCCAAAGTGTCATTGAGGATTTCCTGTGTGTCTTCTGGACACACCTTAACTATCCATGATAGGAATTGAGTTCATGATGTTTATGGGAATGGCATGGAATATATTGGAGTATTTTACCCTAGTGGCTTTACAAACTACAAAGATTTCATGAAGGAACAATACACAGTTTGAAGAACTGACATACCTGTAAGAAACAACCCATGATCTGAGCATATACCCATGCATAACTGTGTAAGAAACACAAAGTATAGATGTTACTATGAACTCTGATTCAAAACTTCCTACAGTATGGTAAGGACAGTTGGGGAATCACAGATAACATTAAATTCATTGACACTACAGGGCAGAAGTACAGGGACATGAAGGGAAACAATTTTTTGTGTCTGATCTGCCACTCCAAAATACCTGAATACTTAAAAATGTCTTTTCTTCTGTGAAGTTTCTATTCAAATAGAAGCTGCACTAACATCTAAAGAAGACTCAGAGCATCTCACATGCTAGATGTAAGTCTGAGCTCCAGGATCAGTTTCTGAAGATGATCATGAACTATATAGAGTATGTTACCCAATACACACTACAGACTTTCACTGACTTTCTTTGGCTAGAGCAGTGCTAGAGATACTTCTGGAAACAGAGAAAGAATTGAAAGGTCTGTGACCCATTAACCCAGATTATATTTACATTTTCCCATCATCAATCAACACATAAAAAAAATCCCCAGTGCTGACTCATTGTAACAAAATATTTGGGAGGAGCCTCCAGTGCATAAAAGACAAACCTTTCTGCAATGGACACATGACCATCAGGGAGCACTCAAAACACATTAAGTGGTGGAACTCAGTTTCAGAATACTTGAGATTGAAATGATGGCACTGAGATTTGATCTTACCCCAGTCACAATGACAGATTAAAGAAAACATCTGAAAACAAATGTTTCTGCGGATTGGGGAATGGAAAGCACTCATGCACTGTTGGTGGGATTACAAGCTAGTATATCCACTCTAAAAATTAGTGTGGAGAATCCTCAAAAAGTATACAGTAAACCTACTATATGAGTCTGCTAGAACATTACTTTTCATTTGCACAAACGTCATCTATATCCAATTTCACAGATACTTACTCAGCCATATTCATTGCTGTACTAGTCACTATAAATATATTTTTAAAGAGGTAATACCATTTGTAGTGAAAATGTTAAGAGAAAGAACCAGGGGCGGCCGTTGGCCCGCCACGGCCCCGCTCTGGGCGCCTCCCGGGGTGGCGGCAGCGGCGGCGGCGCCCGTGCCTCCTGCAGCCAGCGCGGCGTAGCGGCTGGAGGAAGATGGAGACCCACATCTCGTGCCTGTTCCCAGAGCTGCTGGCCATGATCTTCGGCTACCTGGACTTCCGAGACAAGGGTCGCGCGGCGCAGGTGTGCACGGCCTGGCGGGACGCCGCCTACCACAAGTCGGTGTGGCGGGGCGTGGAGACCAAGCTGCACCTGCGCCGGGCGAACCCGTCGCTGTTCCCCAGCCTGCAGGCCCGGGGCATCCGCCGCGTGCAGATCCTCAGCCTCCGCCGCAGCCTCAGCTACGTGATCCAGGGCATGGCGAACATCGAGAGCCTCAACCTCAGCGGCTGCTACAACCTCACTGACAAAGGCCTGGGTCACGCGTTCGTGCAGGAGATCGGCTCACTGTGCACTCTCAACTTGAGCCTCTCAAGCAGATCACCGACAGCAGCCTGGGCCGCATCGCTCAGTACCTCAAGGGGCTGGAGGTACTGGAGCTGGGGGGCTGCAGCAACATCACCAACACAGACCTTCTGCTCATCGCCTGGGGGCTGCAGCGCCTCAAGAGTCTTAACCTCCGCAGCTGCCGCCACCTCTCGGACGTGGGCATCTGGCACCTGGCCGGCATGACGTGGAGCGCTGCCGAGGGCTGCCTGGGCCTGGAACAGCTCACCCTGCAGGACTGCTAGAAACTCACGGATCTCTCCCTGAAGCACATCTCGCGAGGGCTGACGGGCCTCAGGCTCCTCAACCTCAGCTTCTGCTGCGGCATCTCGGACGCGGGCCTTCTGCACCTGTCGCACATGGGCAGCCTGCGCAGCCTCAACCTGCGCTCCTGCGACAACATCAGCGACACGGGCATCATGCACCTGGCCATGGGCAGCCTGCGTCTCTCCGGTCTGGATGTGTCTTTCTGTGACAAGGTGGGAGACCAGAGTTTGGCTTACATAGCCCAGGGACTGGACGGCCTCAAGTCCCTCTCCCTTTGCTCTTGCCATATCATTGACGATGGCATCAACCGCATGGTGCGGAAGATGCACGGGCTGCGCACGCTCAACATTGGACAGTGTGTGCGCATCACGGACAAGGGCCTGGAGCTGTTCGCGGAGCACCTGAGCCAGCTCACAGGCATAGACCTGTATGGCTGCACCAGGATCACCAAGCACGGCCTGGAGTGCATCACGCAGCTGCCCTGCCTCAAGGTACTTAACCTGGGACTCTGGCAGATGATGGACAGTGAGAAGGTGAGGTGAGGGCGGCAGTTCCATTTCCCTGCCCCGCCCTGCTCACCCCACGACCACCACTGTTCCCGCACACTTACATGCGCACTTACACGTTCATGGCAGTGGCCGCGATGGGGCCACGACGCAAAGCCTGGGCTCTTTTCTCCTAGGGCGCCCCTCCCCACTGCATCTGGGGTTCTTCTGCTCCCTCTGCCCACTCTCCTCTCCTCTCCCAGTGGGTGGAGAGATGGACGCTGCTGCTTCTCTGCCCACTCTTCTGCAGGGTATGGAGACTGATTCAGCCACCGCCAACTGTATCTCTGGGCACTGCATTTGGAAATGGGGTGGGGGCGGGGAGGGGCTAGGCTGTTCAACCCCGAGGAGTTGAAGAAAGATGTCTGCCTTCACTTACACTTCATATGCATACTGTGATCTGGTTTTAATTTGGAAATATGTAGAAAGCGAGCGCTGCTCCACCGGTCTTTTCATCCCCGCTGTAAGCCAGTCTCTTCTCATCACCGCTCCTTCGGCACTCTGAGACTCACTTCGTTTTTATCTGTTTTTCTCTTAATTTTCAAAGAAATGTAAAATCATTGCCCTCCTTTTT